AAAAAAAAATGATTTTAAACCCGATAAAACACTGCTGCTATTAAACATTACTTCATTTGTAATGTGAGAATTTTTACTTAACTAATGATATGTAATTAGTTTTTTCGAGAGTATTGATTGTAAACGGATTAAAAAAATTAAAACCGTTTGATAGATTAAGTTCAGAATCAGGGATATTGAGGTAAATATCCAAAGATCCTCGCCACGATTCAGTGTCGCTGCAATTTTCCATATGCGAGATATTCGGATGGGCACTATAAGTCTAACATGGAGGCCGGAAACTAACAGAAACAGTAGTCACTGAGTTTTGCTACGTATACGAAAGCGTGGATTCATCTCCCAAGAAAGTCATAAACATTTTTAAAGTTAAACTTTTTCTAATATGTACAATGCCTGTTCAGATAGTAAAATCCCCCAAAAATATAACTTTCCAACCTACGACAGCTCTCTCGGCCGCTATGTAAATACCGCGTTAAACTTTTAAAGTTAAACTTTTTGTAATATGTACAATGCCTGTTCAGATAGCAAAACCCCCCAAAATATATAACTTTCCAACCTCCGATCATAGCTCTCTCGGCCGCTATGTAAATAACGCGTTAAACTTTTAAAGTTAAACTTTTTCTAATATGTACAATGCCTGTTCAGACAGGCACTAACCTATGATAGCTCTCTCGGCCGCTATGTAAATACCTCGTTACGCCAGAAAAATCGTAGAAATTAGAGCGTACTGGCGTCAAAATCGAAGAGCCTCCTCGATCTAAAAAGTTGTATAGATGATAGTTTTTAGCTGCTCTAATTCTTCATAAAAGTAAAATAATTCTTTAGTTTTAAATTTTGATGACGTCATGTTAAAACCAGCAAATCTGCTCATTATCAAATATCACATGGTTAGGTTGATAAGTAAGTTTTCATTGTGGCATACCACAGGTGTTTTCTAACCTTTGAGTTATTTGAGTTCGGCCTTGTAAATAAGAAGAAAACCAATAGACCTTAGGCTCTGTTGGCACTACGCAAAATTTTGGTCGTTTTGCAAAAAAATTCTGTCGACAGGAAGCCATTCCTAGGGCAAACGATTTTTTTCACTTACCAAAATTTTCTCAACTGTCACCAAACTTTAAAGATGTCGTAGAGAACATTTGAAGGCCCAATTTTAGTCAGGAGACAAAATCCTTTGTTCCTTAACAGCTACCCTTCTCCGGGTCATCTTATTTTGCGAAGACGACCAATTTAAATTCCTTTAATTGACGTTACTGATAATACAAAAAAATCTCGCTTGTCTCAGATGCGAACAAGGTTGCAAAAACCAAAAAAAATGGTGATTGCAAAATTTTCAATTCTTTTTGCAAACGCCAAGCTCTATTTTTCGTCGTAGGGCAAACAAGGCCTTATTCACGATATCCGCCATTTTTGCACGCGCTTTAGGATTGATGGGGTAAAAGCAGTGTCATGTGGACTTTAAGGTGGCAAACAAGTGATAAAATTTGCCAATACGAGTAATCGCTGTCGAGTTTGTTTATTTTCTCAAAAGGAGACGACAATTTGAGGTTGAAAAATGTACAGTTCGAGCTTCGACAAGTTTTACGTCATCATTGCTTGCTGTGAGGACATCTACCGTTGCTGCCGCATCCAAAAGAAAAAAAAATTATCACGTACACCTATAATTTGAAAGCATCGTCTTAAAGACTAAAATTTCTTCATTTCCTGTCTAGAATAAACAAAATCAACTGCGATTTCTTGTATCGGTAGATTTAGACACTTGTTTGCCGCCTGCGAAACCAACTAAAATAGCTCTTATCCCATCAGTCCTTGCACGCGTGTAAAGATGGCGGGTATCGTGAGTAAGGTCTATTATTTGTAAGTCCACGGAAATCATAGTGATGTAGATCACTTAAAAAAATAGCATCAATTGCATGAAAAGAAAAATCCCGCATAACAAGCGGTTGTCCATATCTAGAATTGCGTGTTTATTGAAAGCTAAGCCATATTGGGATGGAGAGAGCAGATTCTTACGCTATGATTTAAAAGATTTTACTTTAAAACTGAGCACAACTTAAACATCTCAAATAACCTCTAACAAGGGAATTCTTTCAGTCGGTCTTTATTCTGATTTTCAATCACTTCTGATCCCGCCTTGTCCATTTTCGTATCTTCTTCCATCTTATCCTGAGGATGAACTTTCGATTTTTTTCGATTGATGGGAATCAAAATCATTAGAATAAGAAGGAACGAGGCCATGGCGACAGCACTACTCATGTAGAATGCATGAACGTAGCTTCCTGTATGGTCCACTATCATACCTGTTAATAACGAAAGATCACATAAAGAAGAATGGTGATGATACGTTGCTGTAAAAACCAAAATTAAGACTTGTGGCTTTACGATGTCTCTGTACAAATAAAAAATAGTTATCTAGCCATAAAAAGGCTAACACTATCCATATAACGTTTGTGGAAAGGAAACCTTTTTTAGTCAATCATTTTGCCACGTGAGAGCCCCCAGGAGTAACTGTTCACGCTATTGGACTTCCTTATTTGGGGTATTGTTATATACTTTTCCATTATTTATTTATTGATGGGTATCATATCATAACTCACCAGCGATGGGACTGCCGCTGACTGCTCCTAGTGAATAAAAGAAGCAACTAGTACAAAAAGCCGCTGTTTTTCTTTTGCTGTCCACACAGCTCATTGGAATATACAGAGATCCTGTTATGAAAACTCCATCGCTTAAGCCATAGACAATACTGAACAAGACTAAAGACCAGTAATTCGAAGCAAACCGAAGCAAAAATACGCAAAGAGACAATGTCAGCAAGGAGGCTTGATGTATAAATATGGGATTGACTCTCTTGTTCTTGTACAAAATTCCTGCAACTGCCCTTCCAAGCGATGAAACAAGGCCAATGAAAATAAACAAGCGAGATGCAGCTTGTGCTGTTATTCCGTGATCCTCTGCATATTTCACCTATAGGCAACAATAATCAATCAAAAATAGTAAATTAATATTCTTTTTCAATTCTAGCCCGCAATCTTTAGTTCCCATTTTTATTTATTTATTTGTTTAATGAAAAAAACTCACCAGAAAAATTAATGGAATGAAAATCGCAAATCCTGTAAGCAGCATAGATGTGACCACGGCGACGAAAGTAGGAAATGTCCACAGGCTACAGTAAAGAGAAATTCTACTCAGTTTGTCTTCTTTGTCCTGGTCATTGTTAAAGGAAGTGACCAATGTTGTTTCTTGTACGTTCGGGTTATAAGTCAGCCCCAGGATACAAACAACAATAAAAGATGCCACCATTATTCTGTAAGTACCTCTCCAGCCATACGAGTCCAAAAGAGCTTGAAGCAATGGGCCTGTAAAAAAGACACCGAAACCTGCTCCCAAAGCTACAATGCCAGTTGCTACGGATAACTTCTCTTCGAAGTATTTTGCTATCACAAGATAGCAAGAACTGTAGATAAAAGATATTCCTAAACTCATCAGCAGACCGTGTGTAAGGAACTTGAGAGTGAGGCTCTGAGCAAATGATGACGTCACCAAGCCGGTCATGCACAGCATGGCTCCGACGGAGTTTGTGATGCGAAAGCCAAAACGATCAGAGATATAGCCAGGCAGCGGAGCAGCAAAAAATGTTAAACTCAAAGCAAGTGACCCGAGTCCAGCTGAAAAAAAAACTTTGACAATGTCAAGAATATTACCTTCAGGGTGGTCATAATTATCGTGTTCGTCATAGTCATGTTCACGATATCTTAAGCTACGTGCAAACGGACGCAACAACTCCCAACACTCTTAGGCCAACAATAGTGGGAGTTAATACGTCCGTGTTGGCAGTAGTGTGCAAACGGATGCAACAACTTCCAACAATGTTGGGACATGCCGTCCATCGTGGGAAGGATACAACCCATAAGAATATGGAAACCATGTGTAATGTGCGTGCGTGTCCCCAACAATGTTGGAACAGCTGTGCGAACGGATACGACATTGCTGCGCTACACTTTGGTGATCACGGAACAAAAGAAGTGTAGGGACAACAACAACAAGACCTTTATTCACCTTGTACTTAATTAATTATATACTCACGTGAAAGAGAAAAAATATATATTTATTTGTACTTAATAAGGCCTGGAGCTAAAATAATCCTAAGATTTTCTAGCCAGTTCTCCAGAATTTAAAGTTTTAGAGAATTGAGATAGAATTTATTTCCAAAGAAGCAGTTTTAAAATACAATGTAACTATGTTTTTCTGACAGCAAATAAGGTTTCAATTGTTTTTGGAATTGGTATGTGTTTAGTTCTTTAAGAGTTATGTGAATTTTGTCCCAGATGGTACATGCAGCATATCCGATTGTTTGTTTCCCCGTATTCGTTCGCACTTTTTTTACGTAAAGATTCTGTTTCGATGCATATCTGGTATTGTATTTGTGGACATTACTGGCATATTGAAAATAGTTTGAGAACAGCTTTGGCAGGAGGCCTTTATGCCAGAGGTACGTGAATTTTAGAATCTGAAATCGATAAACATTATGTACCGTAAGAACGTCTAATAAATTTAGTAGGGGAAGTGCACTTTCTGTGTGTTCACCATACGTGGTGGCAAAGAAAATAAGCCTAGCAGAATGGTTTTGCTTAGCTTGTATCTTATCAATATGTGTTTTGTATGCACTCCCCCATGCTAATATTGCATAAGAGATATATGGGTATATTAAGCTGTAGTAGATTTGTTTCATTTGTAGAAGAGTTAGATAATGTCTCAGCTTAGATATAATACCATTGTTTCGCGCAATTCTTGTACAGATGTATGAAATATGGTGATTGAAAGACATCGTTTCATCAAGCAAGACACCTAGATACTTTATTTTTTGCTTCCTTTGCAGCACATTTATTGTACCGTCTGCACTTTCAATCTTGATACTTACTTGGTCATCTTTTTTCTTTGACGATTTAATGATCATGAAGTTTGTTTTAGTGAAATTAATTGACAATCTATTTACATCACACCATATTTTCACTTTTTTAAGTTCAGAGTTAACTATTTCCTCAAGATCTTTCAGGTTGCGGGCTGAGGCAAAAACGTTTGTATCGTCTGCAAATATTCTAAATGTTAGAGCATTTGAACAGTTTGGTAAATCGTTTATGTAGATTAAAAATAATACCGGGCCTAGGGAACTCCCTTGTGGAATACCGCACGTCATTGTTTGCTTTGACGAAATTGTATTTCCCATCTGTACATATTGCTGTCTATTTGTGAGATAGCTTGCAAAAAGTTGGAGAGGCACGCCGCGTATCCCGTAGCGTTCCATTTTCTTAAGTAAAATTGTGTGGTTCACCGTATCAAACGCCTTGGAAAAGTCCAAAAACACGCCACAGGAATACAAATTGTTATCTATCGCATTACGTAAATTATCAGCAATTTCTGCAATGGCTTGTGAGGTTGAATGTCCCTTTCTAAAGCCGAATTGGAACTCGTATAGGATTTTATGCTTTTCCAAGTAATTAACAAGCTGTTCACAAATGATTTTTTCGAAAATTTGGGTTAGTGCAGAGAGTGTAGAGATAGGTCGATAATTAAAAGGATCCATCTCCTCACCCCCTTTATCTATTGGTGTGACTTTTGAAACTTTAAAATTTTCCGGAAATGTTCCTTGCAATAGAGATTGATTGAAAACCACACTTAATGCCTCATATATATGGTTTGCTGCATATTTTATGCATCTTCTTGGAATATCTAATGCCGACTTGTCTACTTTCAAACTCATTATTTTGTCATATACTTCAGTCGGGCAAATGCCACGGAACATAAAACCATTTGGTGTCATAGTTCTATCTAAATACACTGAAGGGTCTATGTCATGTTTTGGTAGTTTATCTGCTAGGCCATTTCCAACATTTATAAAATGGCTGTTTAATTGATCACAAATACTCTGCTTGTCTATATAAATTCTATTGTCACGCAGCAGTTTCTTGATTGTATGTTGAGTATTTTCTTTTTTTGTTCTTATTACTTTGCTAATTAATTTCCATGTGCATTTTATGTTTTCTTTGTTCAGTTCAAATTGTTTAGAAAAATAATTCTTTTTAGCTGCGTGGATAATCCTATTCAACTTATTACTATATGCTTTATACTCTTTTACTTTGCCTGGGTCCATACTGTATAAATTAGTCTTTACTAATTTGTGTCTTTGTCTGATTGAGTGCATGATTGCTTTCGAAATCCAAGGCCTTTCTAAACGCTTTCGTTGCCGTTTTGATGCTTTGCGCAAAGGAGCATGACGGTCTGTGATAGCGGTCAGATTGTCTACAATAGTAGTTACACTTTCATTAACATCAGTTGATATCAAGCTTTTGAAGTCAACTGCAACCTGTAGGGAGTTGGCCTAAACGTTTGACCAGTTTCAAACCTTGCTCAACAACTCCCAACAAAACGCAACAACATACCACAGGGTTTGCAAACGGACGCAACATTTAACATTCAACAATGTTGGGAGTTGTTGGCCAACAATGTTGCATCTGTTTGCACGGGGCTTTAGTAATTATTCAAAGAGTACACGATGAGAAACCGAATTGTTGGTGGATCCATTTTTTGCAGCAATAACCGTCGTACTTGTCTGTTGAATCTTCTAAAAACGAGAAGGTCAACAAAAAAGAGAATAATAGAATAATTAATTAGCAAAACAACAACTTCGCACATGCATCACACTTTTTTGCACATTTCTTTGTCTTTTTTGCACTACTACGACGTGAAAATGCGTAGCGTGTTGAATCGTTTTCGCCCGCCCATACGAAAACGCTGATTAATGGCAATACGATAGTATCCCTCACAGTCCATGCGTTATGCTAGTAGTAAATGATGTATTACATCATCGTATTCGGAAACCTCCGTTTTCGTCCTTCCTCGCGTAAACGAGTGGCCTGCGTTTTTTTTTTTTTAAAAATCGTTGATCGTTTTCACCGAATACATGTGGACGGTAGGCCAAACCGGAGAAAAAAAATCGCCGTTTTCAAACAAAAACGGATATGTGTGGACGGGGCCTAAATTCGCGTTTTATGGAAAACGTAAACAAGCAAAGACGAAATATTATTTCTCTTTCTGAACTTTGATATGATCCCTTGGAATTCAATTTCAGGAGGGTTTGCCTGACAGACAAAGCAAGTGGGAAGGAATCGCGATAAAGACTGAAAGAACGCAAATTCTTGTTTTTAGCGACGTCCTTGTTGCCGACGCGTCTTTGGACCTTTAAGTCCCTATTGTCAAATACGCAGCCTTATTCCCTTTAGAATTTATCGTCCAGAAAATTTCTAGGTCTTGCATGTCAATCGCAAAATCTCTGCTTCCAAACACGTGTCTCCCAAGTATTGAAATGTTACAGACCAACAAAAATGAAATTTGAAGATGCATGAATTTTTTTTCAAAAGCCCGCTTATCTGCAGGAATTTTTTTCTGGGACATATTGTAAATAGACTTGTAGTTCAACTCACGCAGTTTATTCAGCCATTACTACAAAAGCATGTGGTCGGGAAAAATACCGCACGTGATATATTACGCGTTATGTAATCAACATGCGTGACCTAGAGAAATGGTTACGTTACTGGTTACACATTTTAGGTTCCACCGCCTGCAGGGTTTTTTTTTAGACAAGTTTCCCTTGCAGGAATTTGTTTTTCGGAATTGTCACCCCACTTCCGGTTATTTCCAATGGTCCGTCCCTTACTAAAAAAATCTTGTAGGTTGTTTTTGTTGGCACTTCTCATATATTATCTTTCAGTTTTTCTACGGGAAGACGTAAGCCACTGGTAAGCCTGTGAAATCAATTCACAATGAACAACGGTACGACTTTAAGGTTTGCGTGCAGTTTAGGGAACCCGTAAGCGGCAGAGCGTCAAAGCAGCACGCACAGCAGAGATTTTGCAAATCTGTGCCTTTACACCAAAGTTTGCTGACGGTTTTAAGGTTGTCTAGTTGCAATTGATTAGAAGTAAATTGTGTTTAGGTCTGGTCAAATAACTATATTGAGTGTCTGTTTCTTTCGTGATTACATAACTATCGTATGTCCAGTACATTAATAGAGAAATGTACTAAAAATAGAGCCCAAGGAAAGGCTTTGTGTTTTTGATTGGTCTCAAACTAAATAAAAGTGAATCTAATGCTGCAGGCGCTTTTCCTAAACGCCCTAATGAAATAACTCAGGAAGCTGTAAGTTCACATACTCGCTCGCTGCCAGTTCTTTGATTACCCCGGGAAATATCAGAGAGATTAGAGACCTTTAGCATCAGGTTTTTCTTGGGAAACCGCAAACCGCAGTTTGCAGTTTAATACGCGTTTGTAGTTTCGCGTTACCAAGATTTCAAATTTTAGCAAGGCGTTCAGTTCAGTTCATTTTTATTTCGCCAAAATATAATACAATACAAAAATACGTATGGGAATTGTAAGTTGTCGAGGGAGCCCAGAAGAAACCAGAAGGCCTTATGAAGCCTGGGCTCCCCAGTTAGTAAAAAGAAATAAGTAAAATAAAATGAAATTCGCGGAAATAGGAACTAAACAGAGCCTGAGTTTTGAATTCAGTAACAAGATAGAACAAAATTTTAACTCTGGATTGGAACAGAAAGCTTTCTTCTGTTAGTACGGCAGAAGGGAATATCAAATCGATTTGAACAACGCGTTCATTGTTTAGTGCTGCCATGTTGTTTTTCATCAAGTCGAAGTGCCTCACTTTTATTGCCCAAAAAACAGGAATAATTAATTGATTCGAGATCAAAAATCTAACAAACACATCGCAAACGGATATAAAAAGCTACTTCGTACCTTAAAACACGAGACTGTGCAATTTGTAGTGGCAAAAACCTTGCCGTAAATCACTTACCGCTGGTAGCCCTTCATGCGGTTCAAACTGATGGGCGTTGTCACGTGACAAAAACGTGATGCTAAAGGTCTCTAATAAGATTCACGTTTACGCCAAACGGCAAACGTGAATTCAATCGGGCCTTACAGGGGCCCGGCGTAGCGTGAGATTTTGAAGGCGCTCCAAACAAGTGAGGAATTTATGGCTATGTTTTCCCAGAAAATTTTTAAAAGTTAGGGTGTTGAAAATGTCATTTCCGATGTTTCCGAGGGACATTTTAAAATTAGGAAGGGAAATGCTGAGAGGGGACAGGGAAGACTACATTTTTCGTTTCTCGCCTCACTATAACCTTTCTTGCCATCGGTTTATGGAATCAGAGATAAAAGGTTAAAAAAAACACAAACACAAAGATACCACTATATTGCGAAAAATTCATCACTCATACCGATTAAACGATAAAAATACTTAAGGAAATAAAAAATATATTTTTTCCAGATTTCAGCCGTACGCAAGAGATGAGCTACGCTCCTGCCTTACTGAGATCACATACATATGTAGAGTGATCACTAAGGAAATTAAAAGTATTTTAATTTATCACTCACCAGTTCTCTCACTTGTCTCGCCAAAATAGTCCATTAACACAGGTAACAGAACGCCGAAGCTAAGAGCAAAGCCAAGGCCAAGAGCATTACAAATCATTGCTGAAATACACACAACCCAAGACCACAAACTGTCTTGGTGACGCTTGGCTCGGAAAAACTGGCCTAGTTTCCCAAGACTAAGATCTTCTTGAGTATGCATGTTTCAGTTTGAGATCAGAACTCACCGCGTCTGACCTGGAGAACTTGATTAGGGCGACTCAGTGGGATCTTTCAAGTACTGTTAAATGTTCGCGTAGTACACAAATCTTTCTTTGGGTATAAGCTTGCATGCATTTGGTTATGTTATTAAACTGCTATCAAGTTTCTAACTAGATTTTCAGGTTTTTATGCAACTGGGTTGAAACAAACTGCTGACTGCGAACAAAAGATAATAATGATACATCTTTAAACTGAACTACCCATCTGATTGGCTACTATATAATTATTATTGTTCTTGTTACTATTATAATTCTAGCCTGCAAGCAAGCCTCTCCTGTTTGGGCGAGTGAAACGGGTCTCGCGAGAACGCGCGAGCGAGCGGAGAAGCCTCGGCCCCTCGCTCGCGCGTTCTCGCGAGGCTCGCTTCGCTTGCCCAAATAGGAGAGCTTGCTCGCAGGCTATTATAATTCCTATTATTCTTGTTTTCACTTAATCTCCTTTTCCCGCCAATATAACATACAGTTTAGCTCCTACGTCCGGTATATAAATCGTGGGAGTTGTATGGAACTGTACTCGCCCAGCCAATTAACGAGTGGTACCATCCAAGACCCTATGTTCTTTCACAACACTTTATTCTCTTGCAGAAACAGCTTCTTACTTCTAATTATAAGTTCTTCGGCTACAACTAATGACTAACAAGCCCATCACCAGAGAATTAAACAACCAAATTGTAGACGTGTTTGGGTCAGCCGACCGTGAGAACTTTTCTTTCATCACAAGCCTCAGCGTACCGGAAATTAAAAAATGCGTAGCGTCTGGTTGTTACGAAGTTACGTAATCATCCAGTTGAGTATCCATCATCGTAAAAGTTTTGCCGTCAACTACCGCAAATTAATAATTTTAGCCAAAACCAGAGCCGTGCATTTTGTTGCACACCGCTCTTTTAATTAAATTTCTCGCCCTAGGATGATGACATGACTGGGCGAAAATTGACGCCTCTATCATATTACATGCGAAATACGATCACCTGGATGAGCTCCAACATGGCGGACGGAAACCAGCAAAAACATCTGTTACCGAGTTTTGCTACAAAAGGGTGAATTTATTCTTCGAGAAACTCAAAAACATTAAAGTAATACTTTCTCTAATACATGAACTGTTTAGATAGCAAAAGTTTCTGAAATAAGTTATTTTTTTAAGCTACATGACAGCTCTCTTGGCCGTCATGTAAATGCAGCGTCACGCAAAAGCTTAGAAATTCAAGCGTACTCTATCACAAAACCAAGAACCCTTTTGACGCGAAAATTTGGGTGAAAATTAGCTTTCAGCTGCTCTAATGCATCGTGAAAGTAAAATCTCGGTAGGATCGATAGTTTTTTAGTTTGATTTTTGGTGACGTCATATGTGAAAACCAACAATAGGGACGTTAAGTGACCACGA